GCTAGAGGAGAAACTGGCTTTGCCATGGTTGTGAAGCCACCTCAGAGCTTCCCAAGGAGGTGGGATGATGCCAAAGAGGGATTTTGGGGTGGAAAGACCCTGTGCCAGGGCCTGGAGATGGAACCGACTCTGGAGCTGACTCAGGGCTTCCCAAGGAGGTGGGATGATGCCAAGGAGGAATTTTGGGGTGTGAAGACCCTGTGCCAGGGGCTGGAGATGGAACTGACTCTGGAGCCGACTCAGAGCTTCCCAAGGAGGTGGGATGATGCCAAAGAGGGATTTTGGGGTGGAAAGACCCTGTGCCAGGGCCTGGAGATGGAACCGACTCTGGAGCCACCTCAGAGCTCCCCAAGGAGGTGGGATGATGCCAAGGAGGAATTTTGGGGTGGGAAGACCCTGTGCCAGGGCCTGGAGAGGGAACTGACTCTGGAGCCGACTCAGGGCTTCCCAAGGAGGTGGGATGATGCCAAGGGGGAATTTTGGACCAGGAACACCCTGTGCCAGGGGCTGGAGATGGAACCGACTCTGGAGCTGACTCAGACCTTCCCGAGGAGGTGGGATGATGCCAAGGGGGAATTTTGGGGTGGGAAGACCCTGTGCCAGGGCCTGGAGACAGAACTGCCTTTGCCATGGTCGTGAAGCCACCTCAGAGCTCCCCAAGGAGGTGAGATCCCACCAGGGAGGAATTTTGGAATGAGAACACCCTGTGCCAGGGGCTGGAGATGGAACTGGCTTTGCCATGACTCTGGAACTGACTCAGGGCTTCCCAAGGGGGTGGGATGATGCCAAGGAGGAATTTTGGACCAGGAACACCCTGTGCCAAGGCCTGGAGAGAGAACTGGCTTTGCCATGGTCGTGAAGCCACCTCAGAGCTCCCCAAGGAGGTGGGATGATGCCAAGGGGGAATTTTGGAGTGGGAAGACCCTGTGCCAGGGACTGGAGAGGGAACTGACTCTGGGGCTGACTCAGACCTTCCCAAGGAGGTGGGATGATGCCAAGGGGGAATTTTGGAATGGGAACACCCTGTGCCAGGGCCTGGAGAGAGAACTGACTCTGGAGCCGACTCAGACCTTCCCAAGGAGGTGGGATGATGCCAAGGGGGAATTTTGGAATGGGAACACCCTGTGCCAGGGCCTGGAGAGAGAACTGGCTTTGCCANAGAGGGAACTGACTCTGGAGCCGACTCAGACCTTCCCAAGGAGGTGGGATGATGCCAAGGGGGAATTTTGGGGTGGGAAGACCCTGTGCCAGGGCTTGGAGATGGAACCGACTGTGGAGCCGACTCAGACCTTCCCAAGGGGGTGGGATGATGTCAAGGAGGAATTTTGGGGTGAGAACACCCTGTGCCAGGGGCCGGAGTGGGAACTGGCTTTGCCATGGGTGTGAAGTCACCTCAGAGCTCCCCAAGGAGGTGGGATGATGCCAAGGAGGAATTTTGGGATGGGAAGACCCTGTGCTAGGGCCTGGAGAGGGAACTGACTCTGGAGCTGACTCAGGCCTTCCCAAGGAGGTGGGATGATGCCAAGGGGGAATTTTGGAATGGGAACACCCTGTGCCAGGGCCTGGAGATGGAACTGACTCTGGGGCTGACTCAGGGCTTCCCAAGGAGGTGGGATGATGCCAAGGGGGAATTTTGGACCGGGAACACCCTGTGCCAGGGGCTGGAGAGAGAACTGGCTTTGCCATGGTCGTGGAGCCACCTCAGAGCTCCCCAAGGAGGTGGGATGATGGCAAGGAGGAATTTTGGGGTGGGAAGACCCTGTGCCAGGGCCTGGAGACAGAACTGGCTTTGCCATGGGTGTGAAGCCACCTCAGAGCTCCCCAAGGAGGTGGGATCCTGCTGGGGACGAATTTTGGAATGAGATCACCCTGTGCCAAGGCCTGGAGAGAGAACTGGCTTTGCCATGGGTGTGAAGCCACCTCAGAGCTTCCCAAGGAGGTGGGATGATGCCAAGGAGGAATTTTGGGGTGGGAAGATCCTGTGCCAGGGCCTGGAGGTGGAACCGACTCTGGAGCTGACTCAGAGCTTCCCAAGGAGGTGGGATGATGTCAAGGAGGAATTTTGGACCGGGAACACCCTGTGCCAGGGCCTGGAGATGGAACTGACTCTGGAGTCGACTCAGACCTTCCCAAGGGGGTGGGATGATGCCAAGGGGGAATTTTGGACCGGGAACACCCTGTACCAGGGCCTGGAGAGAGAACTGGCTTTGCCATGGGTGTGAAGCCACCTCAGAGCTCCCCAAGGAGGTGGGATGATGCCAAGGGGGAATTTTGGGGTGGGAAGACCCTGTGCCAGGGCCTGGAGAGGGAACTGACTCTGGAGCCGACTCAGGCCTTCCCAAGGAGGTGGGATGATGCCAAGGAGGAATTTTGGAACGGGAACACCCTGTGCCAGGGGCTAGAGGAGGAACTGCCTTTGCCACAATTCCAGAGTTGGCTCCATCACTTCCCAAGGAGGTGGGATGATGTCAAGGAGGAATTTTGGGGTGGGAACACCCTGTGCCAAGGTCTGGAGACAGAACTGGCTTTGTCATGGTCGTGAAGCCACCTCAGAGCTCCCCAAGGAGGTGGGATGATGCCAAGGGGAAATTTTGGAATGGGCACACCCTGTGCCAGGGGCTAGAGGAGAAACTGCCTTTGCCATGATTCTGGAGCTGGCACTATCACTTCCCAAGGAGGTGGGATGATGCCAAGGGGGAATTTTGGACCGGGAACACCCCGTGCCAGGGCCTGGAGACAGAACTGCCTTTGCCATGGTCGTGGAATCACCTCAGAGCTCCCCAAGGAGGTGAGATCCCACCAGGGAGGAATTTTGGAATGAGAACACCCTGTGCCAGGGCCTGGAGATGGAACTGGCTTTGCCATGACTCTGGAGCTGACTCAGACCTTCCCAAGGGGGTGGGATGATGCCAAGGGGGAATTTTGGGGTGGGAAGACCCTGTGCCAGGGGCTGGAGATGGAACCGACTCTGGAGCCGACTCAGACCTTCCCAAGGAGGTGGGATGATGTCAAGGAGGAATTTTGGGGTGAGAACACCCTGTGCCAGGGCCTGGAGATGGAACTGCCTTTGCCATGACTCTGGAGCTGACTCAGGGCTTCCCAAGGAGGTGGGATGATGCCAAGGGGGAATTTTGGAATGGGATCACCCTGTGCCAGGGCCTGGAGAGAGAACTGGCTTTGCCATGGTCGTGAAGCCACCTCAGAGCTCCCCAAGGGGGTGGGATGATGCCAAGGGGGAATTTTGGGGTGGGAAGACCCTGTCTGTGCCAGGGCCTGGAGAGAGAACTGGCTTTGCCATGGCCGTGAAGCCACCTCAGAGCTCCCCAAGGAGGTGAGATCCCACCAGGGAGGAATTTTGGAATGAGAACACCCTGTGCCAGGGCCTGGAGAGAGAACTGGCTTTGCCATGGGTGTGAAGCCACCTCAGAGCTCCCCAAGGAGGTGGGATGATGCCAAGGAGGAATTTTGGGGTGGGAAGACCCTGTGCCAGGGCCTGGAGAGGGAACTGACTCTGGGGCTGACTCAGACCTTCCCAAGGAGGTGGGATGATGCCAAGGGGGAATTTTGGGGTGGGAAGACCCTGTGCCAGGGCCTGGAGAGAGAACTGGCTTTGCCATGGGTGTGAAACCACCTCAGAGCTCCCCAAGGAGGTGGGATGATGTCAAGGAGGAATTTTGGGGTGGGAAGACCCTGTGCCAGGGGCTAGAGGAGAAACTGGCTTTGCCATGGGTGTGAAGCCACCTCAGAGCTCCCCAAGGAGGTGGGATGATGCCAAGGGGGAATTTTGGAATGGGCACACTCTGTGCCAGGGGCTAGAGGAGAAACTGCCTTTGCCATGATTCTGGAGCTGGCACTATCACTTTCCAAAGAGGTGAGATGATGCCAAGGGGGAATTTTGGGGTGGGAAGACCCTGTGCCAGGGCCTGGAGATGGAACCGACTCTGGAGCCGACTCAGACCTTCCCAAGGAGGTGGGATGATGCCAAGGGGGAATTTTGGAACGGGAACACCCTGTGCCAGGGGCTAGAGGAGGAACTGCCTTTGCCACGACTCCAGAGTTGGCTCCATCACTTCCCAAAGAGGTGGGATCCTGCTGGGGAGGAATTTTGGGGTGAAATCACCCTGTGCCAGGGGCTGGAGAGAGAACTGGCTTTGCCATGGTCGTGAAGCCACCTCAGAGCTCCCCAAGGAGGTGGGATGATGCCAAGGGGGAATTTTGGAATGGGCACACTCTGTGCCAGGGCCTGGAGGAGAAACTGCCTTTGCCATGATTCTGGAGCTGGCACTATCACTTTCCAAAGAGGTGGGATGATGCCAAGGGGGAATTTTGGACCGGGAACACCCCGTGCCAGGGCCTGGAGACAGAACTGCCTTTGCCATGGTCGTGAAGCCACCTCAGAGCTCCCCAAGGAGACGAGATCCCACCAGGGACGGGACTTCAGAACGGGAACACCCCACACCAAAGCCTCGAGGGGAGGCACCGAAACATCTTCCCCCAACCCCACCAGCACCAGTGCCCGGAACCATCATGACCCTCAACCATCCCTCCCCGTCCCGCTGACCGGTCCTGGCACTCCTCCTTCTGGTGCCTCTCGAGCAGGGAGCGGGGGAACTGCTGGGCGCAGAAGCCGCACTCGGAGGGCAGCTCGCTGACCGCCTTCTCCACGGCCAGGTTGCGGCAGCACAGGCTCTTGCTGATCTCGCAGCGGCAGTTGGGGCACGTCGCCTGCTCCTCCTTCAGCCGCGCGTCCGCCAGCAGGTGGATGAAGCAGCCGGCGCACATCAGGTGCCCGTTGGTGCACTGGGGGGG